CACCATACTCTTGTTGTTGGACCTTGTTCAAGTGAGCATTGATGTTTTTCCGCACCATCTCCCACTCATTCCAAGATTTCTTTGTTGCAAGCAATCCTCCCAATACAACAATTGCAAGAGGTAAACCTCCACATTTCTTCAACATTTCCTTTCCTAACATCTCAAATTCGTTTGAACAAGCATGAGACTCCATCTTATTTGCCGGGAATGCTTTCCTTTTGAAAAGCTTCCAACTTTCATCGCCTGTAAGAAGTGGGACCTCTATTGGCGAGCTACGAGGATCAGCAATCATAGCAACTTCCTTGTTGCGTGTTGTGAATAAGAGCTTGCTTCCCTCATTTCCTTTGGGAAAAGCAGGTTTAAGGCTATCCCAATCCTCGCATCTCCATATATCATCAAAAACTACCAAATATCGTTTTTCTTTCAAGACATCATAAAGCTTTTCAACCAATTCATCTTCTTTGAGTTTATCGATTAACTCTCTGTCTTTTATTGAAGGAGACAGAACCTTTATCAAGACTCCATGGAGAACCTCTCTCGGCTTGCATTGTTGGGATATGAAAGCCCAAGCACAACAATCAAAATATTTCTTCACATCATTGTGGTTATATACTTTCTTCGCTAGAGTGGTCTTACCTATGCCCCCCATGCCCACAATGGAAACAACATGGAGGCTGTCCTCTTTCTTCATTAATTGATCCATAACATCCCTCGTGTTAACCTCCAAGCTGACAACACCATCTTCTTCAACATGTGGGTATGATCTTCTTAACCGGCGTTGCATCTCAGCAGCAGAATTAGAGCCCTCTCCTTCTCCTGATATCCCATAAACCGGAAGAGTTTTCGAGATGTCCCCAAGCTTGGTTCGAATAGCATTGACCTCCCTCCCGATTTTGTGAGTACTGGAAAGGGTTGTAAATCTCTTGATGATCCCACAGAAGCCTCCTCGATGTGCAACTTTAAGAATATAAGAGTCTATAACATCTTCAGCATCATAAGCAAGATCTCGGATTTCCCTCACCCGAGTTCGGAGGCGTTCATCTTGTTCCTGCTTACGGTCCACATCTTTCAAGAAGCTCTTCATCCGCTCCAGTTCATCCTTTAGGCTCTCAACTTCTTCTTTCACATCATTCAAGAAAAGGGCTTCATGAATGAGTAAATCTGCAATTCTTTCAATGGCAAGCGAGACGATTGACTCTGCCATTTTTCTTTCGAAGGCAAGACAGATGGAAATGCAGTATGGCTGAATTTGAAAGAACAAAATGGTTAATTGCACAAGTCGAAGGGTTTTGCAGGAGAAAAAGAAATCAGGCCGTATCAACAATTTCTACACAATTTTCTGAATTTCTACATGTATTAGCTTCAGCTGGGTACCTATACTTGCTAAGTTGATATTCTTTTCTTCACATTGGACAAGGAAAAGCAAAAGGGCAAAGATTCTCTTTCCTTTACTTTGTTTTCCAGTAACTGGATAAGCAAAAGGGCAAAGTATTTCTTATTCTTTACTTTATTCTCCACTAATTTTGTCCCACAAATTCAATAGAATTCGATCCCATACAGGAAGGAAGAAGCATAGGTAATTATCAAACTCTGTTTGAATAAGATTCAATCGTCAATTACTTGTTGTTGGTGTTTTGATGAACTGATATAATCCGAGCCTGGCATGCAATAGCAAGGAAAATTGCTTGAGCATTTTTACTGTACCACTCTTATCTTATCTTTCATCATGATAAAAACAAAAACATCATTTTTACTGTATAGGTAATTATCTTTCATCATCTGATTGATTTACTTTGTTTAAGCATCAAGCATATCATACTAGGGTTGGAATGACAAAAACAAAATCATTTGCAGTTGTCTTTTGAAAGCTTGATGTCTTAGTCGTGTTGCCAGAATTAACAAATACTGCAACTATCATGGAAGTTACGTTACTCTTTTAACTCCATTAATCCAACCATCTTGAAAACTGAGACAGCCTTCAGCAACAACAGTTTGTCGTGAATACCAAAGAGAAGTTGCCATCCTAAGAATGAAGAGTAGAGATGAATTGATGGTCTTCATTGATCTCACGACATCACCCATAGTCAGATGCAAAGGAAGCAGTTCTACAAGGACGACCTAGTCGATCAAACAAGACATCAAAGTCTTGTTTAGCATTTGCCTTTGATTCTCAAACCGTAACTTTTGACAGTCAATTCAATGTCAAAAACATTAACATTTGGCATTGCGCTGGCTTCCAAACTCCAGGTTTTAGCGGCCAAACTCAATGTCAAGCACATCATAGAGTTGCAGAACAGAGGAAAAAAAAAAACAGGGAGACCAGTAATGAATCATTGTTCCTAAAATCGACATGCTTATGTGCATAAGGAGACATGACAGTAAATTTATAACAACATTGTTGGAACTTGGGTTTAAAATCCCGGAAATTGCAATGCTTGAATTACTACTTTCCACCATCAGGCTATCTGCAGACTTGTCTTGAAGAGGAATGAACAAGGATAGAGCTTTGAAATTTTGCAGAATTAAAAGAATGGCAAGCCATTGTTCACATAGCCGATAGAACCAATGAGATTCATAGTATTATACCAAAAAGATGAACAAAGAGAACAAACCATACAACACAAGAACAAGAACTGCAAATTTCAAATAACAAACATGGAATACAGATTGATACAAATTATTAGTAATGCCAAAATAAATGAAAACAACATCATAAAGATAACAGTAAGACAATTACAGTGGCGTTGTCTTGCAACAAATTAATGTCCAAATCACATGGAAAGATAGCCATTTGAGTGCTGATTGCTCATAAAATTCAGCCATCGTTTCTTCAGACCTGCCAAGTCAATCCATAACCATGTTCATGTTTATTGTTTTAAGATAATAATATAACAAAAACAGAGAATAAATTGACATAATTTGTTATGGAAAGTATAGACTCAAATGAAAAGAGAAGAGATTTATGGTAGAAATAACAAACTCACCACAACAAAATTACAAGTTCATCAGTTCAGCGAATCCACGTATCAATGATTCGGATGGAGAGTACATGGCGCACTTTATAAAAATCCTCTCCTTCCCTTCCCTCTATAACTTGAATCCTTTTTACCAGTGCTTTCCTCATCCCTTTTAATTTCAATTCCTGAAGAGTAGTGATATACCTCAACCCCTCTGGAAACATCTTCATGCGAGGAACACAAGTCAAATGTAAGCTACGAAGACATGGCATTGCCCCTTCTTCCATTTGCCACTCTTTTAAATCTAATGAATATATGTGAAGAGAATCAAGTTGAGGAAACCCATTAGCAGAGCATGACATTTTAGTCCCCCTATATGATGAAGACCCTAAGCAGAGAATCCTCAAATGAGGTAGCTTTTCTAGCACAGGCATTGGGTCTTGATTAATGTGCGACTCCCACAAAGTCAACTTGCTGATGTTTGTCGGAAGAAATTTCAAAACGTGATGGCTCGAATGTGGGTCTTCCTGTATTCTCCCATGTAAGAATAGTTTGTAGAGGTGGTGACATTGAGGAAGTTGCTCCAATGTTGGAAATGGAATTGGTTCCCCTAACCTCATGTGCAATGATCGAAGGCGGTCTAATCCAAAACTAGGGGATCTTAGGATAGTCTCGACATCTTTTGATCTCATAAACTGTATCCCTAAACTCCGAATATTTGTCAGCTTGAGCAGTGCATTGTTTTTAGTCAAACTCTCAACCCTTATGTACTTCATAGTTTCAATATTTTCTAAAGTGTTTGCTTGGCAAAACCCTTTTATTTTATGCCACTCGCGGGATCCATACTTTTTGAATCCATGGTAGTAGTTTAGTAGAAAATGCCTCAGGCGTCCCAACTTAGACAAGACATTAGGAATTTTCACTAAAAATTCCACTTGGATTGATAAAGTGTGTAAATTTTTCAATTTGCCAATAGAACGTGGCAAGACCAACTTCCTGCATTTTAAACTGAAGTACCTTAAATGAAAGAGAGAACCAATTTCACTTGGTATAATCCATGAACCAACCTCTCTCAAGAGTTTCAGGATCCTTAGGAATTTAAAACTATTGCATTTTGATATGTGTAGTCTTATCAATTGCTCATCTTGAAAGAGTAAAAGAGAACATAAGTTGGGACATTTTCCCTTCAAGGAAACATACCTTTTGCTAGGATGAACAACAATTCTACGCATCTTGGATACAGCAGCAACAGTTAGATCGAGAGAACGATTCTCGTTTCCATTCATCGGTGGCTGAATAATCCCAAAGAAATTCTCCTCTCGAGCTTTTGACACACACAAATCTCTTAAGAGATCATGAATACAACATGTCTTCACACTTGCCTTTGTATGATTCCTTCTGCCAACTTGAACCAAACATCTATTTGTTAGCTCTTCTAGGTATTGTTCAGCTACATCCTCCATCAACATTTCTCCTCCTTCCAATGATGGAGAAATAAAACCTTCAGCAATCCATAGTCTAACTAATTCTTTTTTTGAAATCTCTAAATCTTCTAGATAATGATCAAGATATAAAAAGCATGGTTTTAAATGAAAGGGCAACTCATTGTAGCTTAAAGCCAAAATCTCAGGAACTCCGCCATACTCTTGTCGCTGGTCCTTGTTCAAGTATGCATTGATGTTTTTCTGCACCATCTCCCACTCATTCCATGACTTCTTTGTTGCAAGTAAGCCTCCCAATACAACAATTGCTAGAGGTAAACCTCCACATTTCTTCAACATCTCCTTTCCTAACATCTCAAATTCTTTTGAACAAGCATGGGCCTCCATCTTATTTTCTGAGAATGCTTTGCTTTTGAAAAGTTTCCAACTCTCGTCATCTGTAAGAAGTGGGAGCTCTACTGGGGAGCTGCATGGGTCAACAAGCAGAGCAACTTTCTTCTTGCGTGTCGTTAATAACAGCTTGCTTCCTTCTTTTCCTTTCGGAAAAGCAGGTTTAAGACTATCCCAATCTTTATAACTCCATATATCATCGAGAACCACCAAATATCGTTTTTCTTTTAAAACATCATAAAGCTTTTCAACCAATTCATCCTCTTTGAGTTTATCGATTAGCTTTCTTTCTTTTCGAGAAGGAGAAAGAACCTTTTAATCAAGACTCCATTGGAATAACCGTCTTGTAAGCATTGTTGGATATGAAAACTCCGACGCTTTCGACAACAAGTCATAAATGTCTTTTCACATGTTGTTGATTATATAGCCTCTTGCAAGAGTGGCGCTTACCTAGGCCTTCCCACGCCCACTATGGAACAACATGGGTCTGTCCTCTTTCTCTCATTAATTGATCCATAACATCCCTTGTGCTAAGCTCCAGTGCTGAAACATTCATCTTCATTCAACATGTGGGTTACGTGTTCTTCTTAACCGACGCTATACTCCCATCAGTGGATATTAAAGCCCCTCCTTCTCCTGATACTCCCATTAATCCGGTGATACGTCTCGTCTTGAGATGTCCCCAAGCTTGTTTTGAATAGGCTTTTGACCTGCTTCCCAATTTTGTGAGTTGAAAGTGTTGTAAACCTCTTGATGATCTCATGGAAGCCTCCTCCATGTGCAACTTCAAGAATATAAGAGTCTATAACATCTTCAGCATCATAAGCAAGATCTCTGATTTCTCTCACCCGAGTGCAAAGACGTTCATCTTGTTCCTGCTTACGGTCTACATCTTTCAAGAAGCTCTTCATCCGCTATAGTTCAGACTTTAGGTTCTCAACTTCTTGTTTGACATCATTCAAGAAAAGGGCTTCATGAATGTGTAAATCTGCGAGTCTTTCAATGGCAAGGGAGACGATAGCCTCAGCCATTCTTCTTTCAAAAACAAGACAATGAAATGCTACAGGGTGGAAAGACTGAAAAGGTTAATTGGGCAAGTTAATGGGTTCTGCTAATTAATTAAATATACTTTAGTCAATATTTGTGACTCCCATTTAACATTGATTAACTCAATTTCTTCCATCTGTTTGAATTGCAGCACAAACGAAGCACAAACCCCAAAGCCTCAATAAAGTCAAAACAATGAGGAAGTCCTCCCTTTGAATAACTTGTTGGTCCTTGATGGTTTTTCAACAAAAAGAATATGGACTTATTATTTAGTATATTAATTTTTGAGGATTCATTTCTACAAATATTGACTAAAGTATGATATATAAATTAAATGATGGATGATAATTATTTACTATATTTAAAATGATAAGTATTTTTATTCATGGAGGAAACATTTTCTAAAATCTCGATAAAGAATTGTCATATGTTTTTTTAATTATAATTAAATATTAATAAAATTAATATAATTGTTCAATGGACACGTATCAATTACATAAGTTCTGCTAATCCTACTTTTTAATATGTTTACATATGACTTTTCTTAAGATTTATATTCAATTTCAAAGTTAAATATTTCTTTTTAAATTTAAACTCCTACACCATAACTTAGAATTCAAAACAATACTATTTATCAATAAAATAATAATTTGATAAAAAAATCGGCACATAGTACAAGAAATGACAAAATTTAAAAGGAAAAGATACCTTGGTTGGTTTTTTCCTAATATAATTTTAAAAATACTATATTTTTTCCCATTTTTGGCTTTTTATTCTTAATATTAAAAAAAGTAAAAAGAAAATAAGAAAAAAGCCCACTCAAGAAAATGGGGGCCCAACAGAGGCCCAAATCCACAACCCAATTTCACTATACCTATCTTTCCTGACCCTAAACGCTTATACATCAATTTACCGTCTATAAACATCAGCCGCTCTATATATAAATTCCCCAAATCTTAACCCTAATTAGGGTTTAAGTTCTCTCTCTTGCAGTGGCCTTTATCAGGACCGAAACGAAAGGCTTCAGCTTCCAAATCGGAAAAAATGGTGAAGGGACGCCAAGAGAGCGAGTCAGGTCCCCTTTGATCTCTTCATTTCCACTTTCAAAACCCCTTTTTTTTTTCAAATTCCCATTTTAAGCTAGATTTAACTTACTCTTTTCATTTTTAATTGTTTTGTTGTTTCCGATTTGCAGACTCTATGTAAGAGGAACCATCTTGGGTTACAAGAGGTAATTAAAAATGTTACCTTTTTATTGGCTTTCGTTTTATTTTATTTTGTTGATTTTAAAGATTTTTATTGGGAATTAGGGAGATTTTTTTAAGGAAATTGGATATTTTGCTAAAAGTTTGACGAAAGCTAGCTGTTTTAATTTATGTGGCTGCTGAGAAATATCGAAGAAAAGAAAAAAAAGTTGAAATCTTTATATTTTTGTTTATTTGTTGTAAAAAGAGTAAAGGAAACAAGAATTGAGTTGCATTTATTGGGAGAAGTTGGGTAATTTTTTGGCTATAGGGTCAGGCCAGTGACTTCCCTTTGGTGAACGTAAATTAGGTGTTGGGAGACAAAGGGTGTGATTGAAAGTTGTTGGTTGTGTTATAGAAGAGAATGTACTTGCTTTAAATGAGGGCTTAGGGTTATCTTTTGTTTTGTGAAATGTTGAAGTGAGGTGCAGAAGTGGAAATTGATGTTAGTGTTTTTCTTTTTTTGGTTGGTGCTTATCATTTGTTGGTGGTGGGTGGTTAGGTCGAAGTCGAACCAGTATACAAACACTTCATTGATCCAGATTGAGGGAGTTAACAGCAAGGAGGAAGTAGCTTGGTACTGTGGCAAGCGTATGGCCTACATTTACAAGGCTAAGGTGAAGAAGAATGGCTCTCATTATCGTTGCATTTGGGGAAAGGTTACTAGACCTCATGGTAACAGTGGTGTTATTCGTGCTAAGTTCAAGTCTAACCTTCCCCCTAAATCCATGGTAAGTGTGTTATTGTTGTTTTTTAATGGGTTTATGTTTTGTTTTTTATCTTACATGTATCATTTGGTTCCTTTGCAGGGAGATAAAGTTAGAGTCTTCATGTACCCCAGCAATATATGAGGTAATATTGACTTTCTAGTTTATTATTTTCTTAGTTCTTTTGTAGGTTCTTGAGTTTGCAGCTTGTTTTGAGGTGTCTGTTTGTATGCGATGAATCTTCTTTCAGTTTTAGAAAGTAACTTTCTGTTTTAACATTTGCTGCTTTACAGACAAGTTAATCTTTAGGTTTTATTCATTCTTAGGTGCTTTTTTTTTTGTCTTTGTGACAGTTTTAATTTTGGTGTCTATATCTAGCAATCTGTGCAAATCTTACTTTGGCAATATTTATAATGATTCATACATTCTTTTTGCATGAACTCGAAGCGATTTGTATGGCATAATTCATTATGAAACTGCTACATTACCTGTTTGGCATAATTCAGCTCTACTAATTGTTTTGCTGTTGTTGCGTTCTGCTTGTGTCTTTGCAATCTTCGTTGTTGCTGTGGTTAACACAATTTGTTATCTTTTGTTTTGGTGCATGCAATTTATCTGTTAACCTTGTTTACCCTCTACTAAATATGTATTGTTCCTCTTTCTCTGCAGTTGTCTAGATGCCAGATGGAGTTCAATTGATGACTCGAGTGACTCTGGATTTTCACTTTGTTCTTATAAACTTAGTTAAATTGTTGTGTGTTTTGGAGCAGTCATTTTGTTTGTTTAGGATGGTGGATGAGACTCTGCGTTTCTTTACATATTTCTATCAAGGATTTTCCACCTATTTCTTCCTTACCTTTGACGTTTTGGGTAATCAATCATTTATGGAACTGAAAAGCAACTTTGATCTACTGGAGCATGTATCATAATCTATTTTGGCCTTAACAACTTCATTCATTTCTTCCAAAAGCATGCATGATAATCATTTCTTCCCGGTCCCAAGTAGGATAATCGAATGAGGACATTGATGGTATTGGTATCATTGTAGGAGTTCTATTTGTGATTAAATCCGGAAGCTTGATTTATACTCAGTTAAAAATGGTGGGTTGATCTCTAAACAAGCTGATGAAAGTGACCTTGTAATCAGGCTGCAGAAAGCATGTGATTGAAGTACTGTTGTTTTTCATGGTTCTTGAGGAAATCATGTTTTCATGGAAACAGTTGGGAGATCAAGTATGCATGACGCCCTGCAACCATGAATCAAAGGAAGGTACAGGTAAAGAAATGCAGGAAAGAGGAGCTAGGAAAACGTATGCTAACAGGCTTAAAGAAAAGTGGTAGCACAGAATTTGAGGAGTCCAGCAGTGCAAATTTTGATTGACATTCACAAGCTACTCTCCCATGGTAGCTAAAGATGGGAGCTTTGGATCAAAGCATGCTCTTTGCCACTACCTGAAAATTGTCATGGCAGATGATATGGTGTCTAAAGCATGTTCTCTCCCTCACGTTCCATTCGCTGCAAGGAAAAAAAGGAGAAAAAAACCTATTAGTATTTATTTATCAAAGTTTGATATAAAATTTTTCGCTTGAAATGATATAGTTATTCAAATATAAATATAAAGGGTTAGAAATTCAACTAAAATAGATCATGAGAATATTTAAACACGAAAACCGAATAACATTAAATATCTGTAAAATTTTTAACAATGAAATGAGCTGGTTATTCCAATATTGAAAATAAATATTTCAATTCTAGTAAAACAAGCTTAGAGAAGATATAAACACGAAAATTATATAAAATTAAATGTCATAAAATCTTTTATAGTAAAATAATATACTTATTCAAATATCGAAAATAAAGATTGATTGAATTAGAATGATAATAAAAAGTAACGGAACAAAGTTAAACTCTCGTAAGATAAGTCGAGAAAGGATCTAAACACGAAAATCATATATGTTTTTATTGTGTAATACAAATCTTAACAAATATATACATGCAAAGGTGTAGGTGACAAAAGGACTAGAGAGGGGGTAGGGCAAATTCCAATTAGACAAAAGAAATTTGGTAGAAGATTAGGCTGGCAACGAGAGTTGCATTACGCCTTATCATACACCTTCTTTGTCTGCTAACTCTATTTATATATTAGTACATTTTATGCACGTGGAAACTACTAAATATTCCATGAATAATAATATAAATTGAAGTATATTCAACAAATTTTTTATTTGATCTCATCAGAAAAATAATAATCGGATGATTAAATTATGATTATTATTATTCGTTTAATATGATACTAGTTGATAATAAAAACGATATCTTTTTAATTTAGTAGGTAAAGATATTCTTTCAAAACCTAATAATCTCTTAAATATATATACCCTTAGGTATACTCACTAGCATAATTGAAAGGTTAAGGACAAAATTTGTAGGTCAAATTGAATTTCATAATCCCTAGTCCCAACCAATGTTATATTAAAAGAAAAAACCAACTAATTAATAGAAAAATAGAGATTAAATCGGATTTCGAGTTTGAAAATCTGATTTTTTATGTCTATTTTGATATAACATCGGATAAGAAATATCTTTTATTTTTAACGCTTTTTGTTTTTAAAGTAGTTTTAAATATTAATTTAATAAATGTAACTGCAAAGTGCACAAGCTTTAATTATTATAGCATTTAATTGAACTAAAAAGAAAAGCAAGACAAAGACTTTACATGTTACAAATTCTTGATTGAGATTGGAGCTTCTAGCTCATTTTATTATTGGGTTTGAGTTTTGATAGAGGTATATTTTTAGATTGTATTCCTAAATTCTTAATATAAGAATATTTATAAAGTAAAAATTAATATGAAATATGAAATTCGTAATTTGATAAATTCGATGAAACCGTAAAATTTTTCGAGAAATTTTCTAATCTAAAATTCTACTCAAAACAAAATTTCTTACCAACTGTAACGAATATTGCCATAATGACACGCATATGTAAAAAAAAATTTATCAAAACGAAAAATAAAATTACGTATTTTTTTTTATAAAACTCAAACTGAAAAGAAAGAACGAAAATAAAAAACTTGGAAACTAGAGTGACAAATTCCAATTACATGTAAGCAATTATTTTAATATCCAATAGGTTGGCTTTGGCCTTTTAAAGATTTTTCAAGTAAATTACATGCATGTATGTGGAGAATTGTTGATAATCCGACTTGGTCTCCATAATTAAGCCGGCTTCACCCTCTTTGTTGTTGCCTTAATTAAACAAAAGATTGCATGGAAATCCAATTTTGCAATTAATTTTATCTAGTTATATCATTTAATGATTATATTTGGGAAAAAAATCCAAAACTAAAGAAATCTTAGGGTCATAGGCTAAGTGTTGATTTGGTCAGACCAAAAAGGGTATGTTCATTGCATGATCCAATATTATAGCAAATGGGGATTCACATCACATGGGGTCACATTCACATAATCTTAAGAATTTAATTAAAAAATAAATAAATTAAAGGCTGCATTTGGACCGACCTTTGCACCAAACCTTTGTTTACTTGGTATACTCTTCTAAATGTGTTAGGCTATTTTTCCATAGACTATGGTCCAAGTTATGGAATTGGCCAAAGGTGTGATATTGACACATATATCATGCACTCGGTTTTTTACTCAATTTGACTTGCAAACACATTTAGGAAGACAAATTTCGATTTTATTATTTCAGGTTTTGAATTTCGATCCCTTATATGCAAATTATCTCACTCGATATTATCTCTCATATAAACAAAAAAAAAAGGAAGTATTTTTTTAAATAGTACATCGTAATTACACACGAATAATATATAAACTATGTAATATCTTAACTTAATTAATTAACTATTTTTTGTAATTGTTTTTTTTAAAAAAACTATTTTTAGTAATTAAGCTACACATGTAGCTTAACTTAAATATATCATATACTATACATGTATATATATGTTTAAATTTGAAAGAAATAAAATACTATTAAATTTGGCAATTGTTACTTTCTAGCAAAAAGAATAATCTTTATTTTTTTTAAAAAAAAATTCTTACTTTACTTATTTTTCTAAATTGAAATTAAAATTTTGATCTTAGAAAAAAGGAAAATAATATCAATAGATTTTGTGCACCGTAAAAAATTTGACATATATCTACACGAACCTTATAAATAAATGAAATAGTAGAGGTAAGATATTTTTATTTAAATGATTTTAAATTTATCGAATCTTAAAAGTAAACATAAAATTTATGAAACGAAAGAAGATTTATATACACTAAATTTTGATTATTAACTCAAGATATGAAAGGAAAGTTCATACCTCTTACCCTAAATCATTACATTAATTAGTACAAAAATTTTCTTAAACGTTTTACAAGTCAAAGTCTCCTTTTCTTATACCATACATTTCCCACCATTAACATTTGACCTTTCAAGCAACCCTCCAAATAATTAAAAAACAAAAACAAAATACTTAAAATAAAATAATTACAAAAATAAAATAACCCATTCGATAATTAATAAAATTAAATAAAATAACATAAAAAAAACAAAAACACAGACGCGTTTACCTCCTCTGCTTTAAAATCCGTTGTCCCTCTTCTTTCTTCTTCTCTGAGAGAAATTTGCAGAGAGGCAGGCACATTCTTTTCCTTTGGTCTTCCTCAAAACCCGAAAGGTTTTTTTTTTAAAAAAGAAGGAAAATTGAAATTCTATTTGTTGTTCTGTTTTGGGTTCGTTTATTTTGTAATGAGAAACTTGTATCAGATCCATGGAAGCTAATTCCATCGAATCATCTGAAAAGAATCCTTTTTCTCAACAAAAAAAACCCATAATTTTCCAAGCTCAAACCAGATCCACCTTCATATAATCCCAATTTCCTTCCTTTCGTCAACACCCACTGTTTTTAACCGCAGAATAAAGATACCCAGATCTTCAAAACCCCCAGAAGGACCATGAAGAACCAATCGAAATTGTTCACGATCGGGCTGGTAACGGCCTGGTACTCGTCCAACATTGGTGTCTTGTTGTTAAACAAATATTTACTAAGCAATTACGGTTTCAAATACCCAATCTTTTTAACCATGTGTCACATGACAGCTTGTTCCTTGTTAAGCTACATCGCAATTGCATGGATGAAGATGGTTCCCATGCAGACCATTCGATCTAGGGTTCAGTTTTTCAAGATCTCGGCTTTGAGTTTGGTCTTTTGTGTGTCGGTGGTGTTTGGAAATATCTCTTTGAGGTTCCTGCCGGTTAGTTTTAACCAGGCTATTGGGGCTACGACGCCTTTTTTTACGGCAGTTTTCGCTTACTTGATGACATTCAAGAGGGAGGCTTGGCTTACTTATCTTACCCTGGTTCCTGTTGTTACTGGGGTTATCATTGCCAGTGGGGTATGTATTTGGATAATTTTTGTTTATTTTTTATTGGTTAATGAAACGGTTAGCTTATCTTTCTGGAAATTGGTTGGCTTTGTTCTGTTGGTTTGATATCATTTTTAAGTCATGATAGAGGGGTTAATGAACATTATAGCTTTGTTTTATTGAGGATTTAATAGGAATGTGGAAATAGGGTTTGCTTTATTTTGTTGAAATTTGTATTAATGTGACTGCAAATTCTGTTGGTTATCTATTTTTTAATTGGTTAATGGAAATGGTAGGTTTCTTTTAGGCGGATTTGTTGAGGATTTGATCGAAATGTTTACATGAGTTTGCTTATTTTGTTCAAATATGTGTTCATTTGCTGATTTGTAAAGCTTTATATTTTTATTGGTTAATGTAAATATTAGCTTTTTTTTTATAATTTATGGAGGATTTGCATGGAATGTGGGAATGGATTTGCTTATTTTGTTGAATTTTGTTGAATTTGATGATTATAAGTGATAATTGAGAGGGAATTATGTGGGAATCTGATGGTGTTTCCCCCATATTATTGAGGCTAATATGATTATTTTTTTTGTGAGATGAGAGGTTCAAATTGTCGTCTAGTTGTAAAGAAGTGGATTCTTAAGAGTCATTTTGATTTCATGAGCATAATGTAGCCAAAAGAATGATTAGTAGTTGAAAGGATTACAATACCTTGAAGCTAGAATTATGATTTGTAAGTATTTCCTTTAAGCTCTACTCAGTTTGCTGAAACAACGAATGGAAAGAAAAGAACTGCAAGGTTTGAAAACTTAGATATCGTGTCATTTGGAACTTATGGGAACACCAAATTTTAGCCTGATTTTCGGAGGTTTGCCAATATCAATGATTACATTTGGTGGATTTCCTTCGTGGGATTCAAATAGAATGAAAACCTTGTTATTGTTATGATTCATCAGTCATCACTGCTTCTCTTAGAACTGCATCTTCTCCTCCTTTTCCTTTCTCTCCTTCCCCCTGCATTTCTTATTTTGTACATTTTGGTTGTGGCATTTAGAAGTATATGGTCTGGATTGTTGCCCTTCTTTTTGATTTGAAAATCTTCTAATTTTATTCTTTTAACTTTATAAATTTTAAATTTGTGTTCTGCACTATTCTTATTACATTATTTCATTTAACTAATCTACCTCATTTTTCTTACATGTCCATAGGGTGAACCAAGTTTCCATCTATTTGGATTTATCATGTGTGTTGCAGCTACAGCTGCTAGAGCTCTCAAGTCAGTTTTACAAGGCATTTTGCTTTCTTCTGAAGGGTGAGGAACTTTTATGCCTTATGCTTCTGCTTTATGGTTGATGGCTTAATTTTTATATATTTACTTTAGTTCAGAGACTAGAAATGGGTACTGAAAAATTCTTGTAAATGTATTTCAGAGAGAAGCTGAATTCCATGAACCTCCTTCTCTACATGGCTCCAATAGCTGTTGTATTTCTACTTCCTGCAACACTCATTATGGAAGAAAATGTGGTTGGTATCACCCTTGCCCTTGCCAGAGATGACATCAAGATCATTTGGTATCTACTATTCAATTCAGCACTAGCATATTTCGTGAATTTGACCAACTTTTTGGTCACGAAACACACCAGCGCCCTGACTTTGCAGGTATGAAATACCTGATACTTGTTGCAGGCTTTTCTTGACATTTTTCCCCATATTCCCTGGCTTTTAGGAATTTGCTACAGTTATTTTGTTTCTTTTTTAAGGAAGATAGAAGGTGAAGAGGATGGGTTGTTTAAATCTTTTATGTGGTATGAAATTAAAGTAACACATAAGTAGACTTATTAGAAAAGATCAAACAAGAAAGTGATGCTGAAGGTTTGACTGCTTTGAACTCCTATTAGTATGAGTTTAACCAATTTTAGTTGTTTAGAGAAACCAGCTTGGTTTCCATAAGTGTTTGACTTTAATTTATGCCTTTTTTTTTTAAAGACACTGAGATCTTTGCTCTTGCAGGTTCTAGGAAACGCAAAAGGAGCTGTAGCTGTGGTGGTTTCAATTTTAATTTTTAGAAATCCAGTCTCTGTTACTGGAATGCTTGGTTATTCACTAACAGTCTTTGGGGTTATACTCTACAGTGAAGCCAAGAAACGAAGCAAATGAGACATCATCCTTGGAACACCTTTATATGCCAGTGATCTTCATATATTTTGGTTCGATCATTGTGAGCACAGCGACAATGTTCAAAGAGGCAAGTTTGGGGCATGTGGTAGGATATAATGCCATGGATTTTGCGCCCTAGATTCTATTTTTTGTTTTCCCTGGAAGCCTGGGAAACTGGTTTTCTTTTGTATCGGCAACAGCTGCAGGATTTAGTAAAAAATTAGAGAACTTCCAATAAGTGACTGATTGGTCTCTATCATTCCCAGCTTGGGGTTGTAGAGGAATATCATTTTATGTTTTTTATTCTTTCAGGAAAGGGTTGTAGAATTGGTCTTTTACACAATCGATCTGTTATTAACATTTCTAATATTGATTAATTAATGGAAGAAAAAAAACTCATAAGTTTTACCATTTTGATGTTTAATGCTTTAATACAGTTTTCTTGTATGTTAATTATGGATGTCTGATGATGTGATCAATGCCATGAAGCCACTAGCAATATTCATGATGGCCATGATGACAATTTTCAAATCATCCTTTGTATTCACAAACTATTGGAAAACCATTGTTCCGTACATATCATCACTAAGTTCCTAACATCTGCACGTCCTCAATGTCTATAACTTCAACCTCTGCCCTGGCTTCTACTTGAGGCATAGTTTCATCAGTTCTGTCTCCTCTTTAGGCTTTATCTCAGGCTTAGGCTTTGTCTCCACCTTTGCCTCATTTTCATCATCCATGCCAATCGTTTCCAACTTCATTTCACCGGCCTCTTCGATTCAATCTCCTCCCAGGTTTGATCTTCATCTTAGGTTTTCTCTCTACTTTCTGCTTGGCCTCCGCTTTAGGTCCAGTACCCTCCTCTTCAATCTTGGGAGCCAAGTAGAACCCTGTGTAGTACAAGAATTGCAGGAAGGAGGAGCAGCTAAAGCTCATGAGCTTACTCTCAAACTACACAAACTTTGTTCCAATAAAAAAAAATGAAAGTTAAAACATACATGGGAAAATATATCTCATTGAATTCTCAATGGTTCTGAAACCCCAGGAGAGCCACACAGCTGGTATCGCACTCTTCTTTCAACGTTGGTTCGCTTGATAGATTACGGGCAAGGGTGGTCAAGTCTGGATCATCTTTGTGCTTGTCCCAGGCTGCTTCAAACTGTTGACCTTTGCATCTAAGATTACAGGAAAAAGAGAATTAGGGAAACGGGACTAGAGATTGTTTTAGAAAATTCTTGACAGAAATTGAACGAAATAGTATACGACGACTTACTGCTGAAGCATGATCAATATATCAAGAATATCTGTTCTAATTTCTTCACGTGCCGTTCTCAGTGCTGCCTCTTTGAATAATACAGTAAGTTCATCTACCAATCTGAACATTAGGGATGCAAACAAGATTGAATACCATAGAGAACAGAATCCAGGAAGTAAAATCAATTCAATTGAAAAATAAATTCTTTTAAGTTATCATACACAATTAAGAGACAGCAAGTGGCAAATTTATAGAATCTTCAAACCAGAGTTTGCAACAAACAGTAACTGGCAGGAAAAGGATTATAACTGGTTTTGTTATAAATTCCCCCCAAGAAGTTTAGAGAAGCTGAAGGTATGTCTAGAACGAATTTCAAAGAAAGCAATGAGGTTGATATCTTAAAATGAGGCAGAATTAAGTTTCCACATTCCATTTCAATTTTTATCATTTCAGCAATCATCGAGCACTGCTTTGTGAGACAAATTCAGTGTTAACATGCCATTTAAAACAATGGAACAAATTAAAGTTCTGTTCCAACTACAAAAGCACCTAACTATAAATCAAAAGCAAAGGTAGAGCATAGTTACCTAATTTACCTATCAATATATGGTGTGTTCCGTATCCATGTTAACCTAATAACTGTTTGGACCCGTTTGAGAATCTGCAG